AGGGGTGGGGTGGGGTGGGGTGGGGTGGAAACAGAGCTGTCCTGGGGCCCAGCTAAGAGAAGAGAGCCTGGTGCCAGCCCAGGCACCAGGCTCCAACTCCAAAGGGCATGGGGAACCTGCTGCCAGTGCCCATTCCCCGCCAGGCAGCTGCAGCTTAGCGCACTGTGGGGGTCTCCCTGAGCCTGGGGACCTTGGACCTCCCTCCCCCATCAGCTCTGCCCCGCTGCCCAAGGAGGCCCTGGCCCCCACAGTCCAAGTCTGTCCAGCACTGCTGGGGAAGGTGCAGTGGGGCACTCAGTGCTGCAGTGAGGGAGGCTGTGCTGGGTGGGCCTGCCTGGGTGCTCACATCTCGTCCGCATGGTGCTGCTGGATGATGACACTGGTGCTGCGCTCCACCCACTCCTGCTTCGTGGCCTCCCAGGATACTGGAACTGTGGAGGGCAGGGAGCTCCGCCCTGAGGGCTGCTGCGGGGGATGTCCGGCCTGGGGGGAGCCCTGCAGGGAGGCGCTGGGTGCAGGTGGATCGGAGGACGAGTTGCTGCTGATGGCGGAGTGGGACTCGGCCGTGGGCAGACTGTGGCTGCCCTCCTGCGAGCGGTTGAGGCTGTCCTGCAGACCTGGCTCTGACTCCGGGGCCAGCCCCTTGGACATGCTCTCCTCCTGCCCATCGCGTGCCACTGCCCATGTGTCCCCCATACTCGGGAACTCGCGGATCTGCCGGGACAGCACTGCAAGAGAGGAGCCCATGACTCTCATGCCTGGTGGGGCAGACGGGCCCAAGGAGAAGCCAAGTGCCTTGCCCAGCTCTGCAACGAAGCACAGGCTGCCAGGCTGGGTCCCACCTCTCCCACACACCCTGCAGTCGACCACTCACCTCCACGCAGCTCCTGCTGCCGCCCCCCTGCTCCGAAGAAGAGGCTAGGCGTGAGCACGAGGCAGAAGGACAGGAACATGACCTGTGGGGAAAGTGAGCCATCAGCCTTGGCCCAAGGCTGGGGACCGAACGCTGCTGGGAGCCCTGCACCCCTGCAGGAGAGTTCGTGGGCTGGCAGAGGCTCCCGTGGCACATGGGACAGGCCCTGGCCCAGCTGTTGAGCCACTCACCGCGATACAGGTGCTGGCCGTGGTAGTCTTGGTTGAGGACTGTCGCACCAGGGCCTGGAGCTTCCGCAGCTGCTCCAGCAACGACCTGCAGCACAGCAGGAAACAGGATGAGCACAGCAGCAGCCCCGGGGCCGGGCCAGCCTCCTCCCATCCCCCTGGCCCCGTAGTTCCAGCGTGCCTGGCAAACAGGCTCAGACTGTTCCGCACCAGTGGCTGGTATTGCCCTGCAGGGGCTCAGGACCACAGAGGGCCCTGCTGCCCTTGCCAGGTGCTCATGTTGGGGACTCACATGTTCTGCTTCTGCAGCAGCTGCACCTTCTTCTGCAGCTCGTGGTTCTGCACCGTACAGGCTACCACCCTTCCAGTAAGCAGGGGATACAAGACAGCACGTTAGCCAGGAGCCAGACCAGACTTAGGGGCTCAGCTCAGCACCTGGGGGCTGATGGCACAGGGCAGGAGGGCCCGGCTCCCTGCACATGACTCGGGCCTCCTAGCACTGGACTCCCAAGGTCTCATGGGGGCAGGGCCCTCGTGCTAGGCACCTGGGAGGAGCCCCCAGCTGATGAGGCAGGGCAGGGCTCCATGGGATGTGAGAAGAAAAGATGAAGTCCCCCAGGGTAAGGGGGCCTGGCTCCCCCACAGCAGGGTCTGGGTCCTCAGCCACAGGAACAAATGCTCCAGCTGCCCCACAGGGGCAGCCTGGCAGCTGGGCGAGGGTGTGGGGCTAACAGGACCTACTATAGAACTGCTCCCTGTGCCCAGGGTCATGGATGCAGCCCCTACTGCAGGTGCTGTGGCAGGGGAACATGCCCTCACCACTGATGCACAGCTCCCTCCGCCCACACTGGGCTTGGTACCTGCTCTCCAGGCCATCCACATAGATCTTTTTGCGACGGCGGCTGTCCTGGGCTGACTGCTTGTTCCGGATCTTGCGACGCACCCTCTTCAGCAGCCGCTCCTCAGCCTGCAACAGTCACTGCTGTCATTGGCTGTGCCCCTGGCACTGAGGCAGGCAGCAAGGCTGGACCCGGGGCGATGCAGCCACCAGCCCACGGCCAGCAGGTACCTTGCACAGGCAGGGAGGTGGGCAGGGCAGAGCTGGTAGCCCTGGCCCCAGGGACAAGGCCGGCTGCACACAGGCCTGGCAGTTTCCAGGCTGATCTTCAAGACCATCCTTCTGCTGCCTGCTCCCTGCATGAGCACAGCAAGGCCCCTCATGCCAAGGCGACGCCTTGGCTGCCAGGAGGGCAAGAGGGGCGGTGGCTGCAGATCCACCACAGCAGCCGGCTAGGGACAGCCACAGGAGTGGGGCCAGCAGCAGTGGGGGCCTGGCCCGCTGCCCTTTCCAGCCGCCGAGGCTGAGCCACATGCCATGGCCCCTGCGGCTGGGGCTACTGCTCAGCACTTGTGCCCACACCTAAACCCCTGTCCGGGGAGGGGCCCTGCGCCAGCAGGCAAGGGCTCACCTTGGTGAGGGGCAGGTGGGACGGCAAGGTGATGCCATCTTTCTCCAGCAGCTGCCTCTCCTCCTCTGTCAGGATCAGCTCCGGGAAGTCCAGCTGGGGATGAGCAAACCCCAAGATAATGAAGGAAGCACCAGGCAGGGTCTGAGCCGGGGGGAAAGGGGGACCTGCGAGCCTGGCTGCAGGACCCCTGGGAGTAGGGGCTGTACCTGCGTGGGGGTCCCAGGCATGACATCCTCCACAGCCACGGCGAAGCTGAAGCTCTGCTCGCTGCCGGAGGTCTCCTCTGCGCTCTCCAGCCCGGCCCATGCGTCTGGGAGAGGAGGAAAGGGGTCAGACGACCCCTGCCCCACAGAGCCGCAGCCTCCCCCACCAGCTCCTGGGCCCGGGGGCACGAGGCAGCCCCGGCCACGGCCTTCTGCCCCTCGTGGCTCGGCGCGGGGCCGACCCATGCACACCCAGGTCGATGAAGACGTCCCCATCGGTGGGTCCCGCCGGCGCGCACTCCAGCCACAGCCCGTCCTGGAGCAGGGAGTAGTTGTGGTCGAACCGGACGCTGTCGGGGCCGGGAGGGCTGCCGGGGGACGCGGCCCAGCTCTCGGGGCTGCACGAGGGCTGCTCCGCGGGGGTGCTGCTGACGCTGCTGGCGGCCGAGCAGCCCGGGACCTCAGCAAAGGGGCTCAGCAGGGCGCTGAGGAAAGCATCCACGTCCTTGTCTCCCAGGAGCTGCAGACCCGAGCGTCAGCGTGGCGAGCGGGGCGGGGCGGGGCAGGGGCCACCCCCCGTCCCGGGACCCAGCCTCACCTCAGGCTCCAGCAGGCCCCAGGCACCGGGGTCGGCCGGCAGCTCCGCGCCCTCTGCCAGCAGGAAGTCCAGCAGGTCCCGGTCCGCATCCACGACCCCGTCCCCGTCCGCCAGCGCCAGCGGCGCCCGCTCTGGCACCACCGACACCGACATCTGCGGGCACCGGTCAGCGGGGCCGGCCACGGGGGGAGGGGGCCCGGGCCGGCCACAGGGGATGGGGAGCC